GAGGTTCTGAGTTTGAGCCCCACTCCCACAGTCTGCCACTCTGGCTCTCTGAACAAGACCCTAAACCTCCAAACTGCTCCCCGGGCGCCGCACAATGGCAGCCCACTGCTCCTCAAGAGGATGGATTAAATGAAGAGATCAATTTCTCCAATTTGAGATTAATAAAATTCAATTATTATTAACAATCTCATCATTGCTGAATCTTCTCATCCTGCACTCCCCTCTGAGTGACAGAGCTGCTTTTATTGGTGATAGTTTGAATCAGTAGCAACAATTCTCCATTCACAGTCAGTTTGAACTTCTTAGATATATTTAAAAATATATATTAATTGAAAAAGCATACACACAAACATTTCAAGCCGTTGTTGTGATTTTGATTGCTATGCCTTTTGAAAAAAAATCCAAGTTCAGTGTTTCAGTAAACCACATAGGATAATTGAAAATATATATTTAAAAGCACAATGCTTCTGAGAAGGATGGTGCATTTCTATTCTCTAAGCTTGGTTCTGCTGTGGAGCATGAAGGAGAGACGCTTCTGTTTAGTATTTGTCTGTGCATGCCGACTCCAGCCTCAGTCCACTTCCTGTGAAACTAAAAAGTAATTTTCTTTACAACGAAATGAACTCATTTTCTAATGCACTTTTTCCTTCCACTCAACTTTCAATAAATATATCAGGATTCTTCTCTACCAATGTTCTCTCTTGGTTACGCTCCATGAAGAGTATTACAACTTTCTTCCCTATGATTGCGTGGGTCATTACATAACATACCAAATGTTCTTTATTTGTAACCCAGCCTGTAGTGGCACTCCAGTAGGGCGAAGTTTCGGTTTCAGTGCCGCCCATCCAAGAAAGAAAAAACACAGACAATATACAGACACGGGACGAAGGCCTTGCCGCCGTGAAAAGGTGCTGCCCTTACAGCAGACAACAGATGCTGCACTCTGGATGTTTTTTTGTTTATAAATTTCCATTTACAAAATATCTTTGCATGTAACAGAACAAATTTCACCCCATAAAAAACCCTGAACTAAATTAATATTCTGTGTAACACCTGATAATAGAAAAAAAAAAACAACAACACAGAGAGATGAAGAAATGACACAGACACATCTATAAGATATAAAGTAAAACTTTATCATGACATACAAGTTTAAAGCCCTGAGAACCATATCTTTATATTAACTAATATGAACAAAACTGAATGTGTGAAAACCACTTTGGAAAAGTGCTCCTCTTAAATACAATCAGCACAAACCAGTTCTTACAAGCATTCATGTGTTTTGTTCCTTTTTTGTTTGCATTAATCAAAGAGAAAACTATAATAATATCAGTATTATTATTGTCATGTCCTTAATAATTATAACAGTACAAAAATATGCACAAACCCCACAGATGAATTAATATACGGAGCATTGTACAAGCCAAAACAACAACATACAATTGATAAATGAGGTATTTGATAACCGCTTGCATATGCACCTGTTTAACACACATCAGGTTAGTCTTAAACATTCGAAAAGTGTATTTTACTCCAAAATCAAGAGACCAAAGGTTCCTCAGACTTCCAACTTCACAGCTTCCTGAGTGACGAGGCGTCACCTGCAAGTTAGTGACGACAGAAAGCCTAAAAAAATAAAAATAAAATCAACTCAAAAACCAAAGAAGCAAAAAATACCGCAGTTTCCATAAGTCAGTCAATGAAGCTCTACACCGATGCGCTGCTGAACTACACAGGCACGTCATACGCAGACAACCTCCCCAGCTTTTCAGCAGCCAGGAAGCTTCAACTCGGCCCACTGGAGAGGGGAAAATGACTGACCAACCCTCAACACTTTCCACTCTGATCACAGACCTCAAGCCTACAGGAAACACCGCAGCCACCAGCAAACAAACTGGAACCATGGCAAGCTGGAGAAATATGGAGGGAATTTTGTTCCATTTTTGTTGCAAGATGTTTGTAAAATCAACATTTTAAAAATGCATACCAGAAATGAAACTTAAAAAAGAAATCATTATCAAGAAAAAAAAAAAATGTTTTGCGTATAGATTTTCTGTTTTTATATTTTATTTTGACCATTTCTTTGACCTTACTTCAATTTTTATTTGGCATATTTTATATTAGCAAATTAACCTTTCCTTTTCCGATTGAGTTTTACAAATGTTATTTCCTTTCATGTTGCAGATCACATTCTTGTAACTTGAAGCCAAATACAAACGATCGCTCCAGACCAACAGAAATGTTGTCAACGTCCAGCAGACCAATAGAAATGCTTATCAGCTCCTCAAGAATATATATATATATATATATATATATATATATATATATATATATATATATATATATATATATATATAAAGAAAATACGAGCACATAACTTGTAAATATAAAATCTGCAAAATGCCAATGTTAAGAAGTTTTCTTTGCAACAATAATGGAACAAAATTAACTTCAAAGAGAAGTTTTAAAGGATTCCATCTCTGAGCAAGCCAACCGTCTGTTTGTGAGCAAGCAGATGCAACATTGGCGCCATCTGCAGTATACTTTAGGTTACTACAAATAGACTTGCTTCTACTAAACCTGCTTCAACACACGCACACAAACACAGAAACATACAAAGGCAGTGAGGCTAGTCTATCAAACAACCATTACAAACCAAAAAAACTAAGCAAATGAAACTGACAATTTGGACTTAATATTAAAAATGCTTTAGTTACACAGCTTAGATGCTTATAAACTAAACAAGATTATCCAGGATAAACAAAACAATACAAATAAATATCAAAAGATTAGCTGGTTAAAGTCTGAATGGTGTGAAATATCTATCCAAACAGCGGGTAATGAACCCAGCAACAGTTAGCAGCCTGAAACCTGCACTAACCAGATCTCACCAGCAACTACGTTAAGGCAGCATCTATGATTCCCTTCTTTATGAATTAGTTCTGTGTCAAATAATCTTAACCAAATAAAATGAAGAGCATGGCCAAACGCTGCTGGACCTCACATTTAGTGGCTAAAATACAGTCAAGCATCAATGCTGAGCATCACATTCAGCACAGGTGAAGCTGGAAAAATCCATCTTTAACCTTAGAAAAGTTACAATATAAAAAAAGTTATAATCTATAGGAGAATGTTTATTTTAAAACATGGTGTAATATAATCCATCATTTTTGAGACCATCAAGACGTGTGTTTGGCTGAAAAAGGGACTGAAACTTAAGCCATTGCCTGAGTTTGCAGACAGTTGGTGCATTTATTGCCCAAAATATCTATGATTATACAAGCTCAGGGTGACAGGCGATTTGGCTTTTCATATGAATAACACTTTAATCTCACCTACCAGGCCACATATGATCATCGTTTTACATGTTTGGTTTAATCTAGCTTAAATTGCGTGCTGGAAGTCCCAAAATGTGGGAATAAACTAGAGTTTTTTCGCCACACCAGACATCAATTTCACAAATATTAGGCTGAAAAAGATTAGGTGGTAGTTTTGCAGACCTACAGACACTCGGGTTGTTTCACCACCGGATTGTACAAGAAGGACCAGCTGGACTAGTCTTTGGTATCTAGCTGTGCAATAACCAGAAAATGAATGCGATCTAACACTGGTCACATGATTGTACACATGCATCATCGAGAAAAAAAAAAAAAAAGCTGTCAAGAAATAATCAACTGCAATAATTTCTCTGTTCACAATCAAATCTCAGATTAACACAATCCTGTCCAATCTATACAACAACGAGGAACGAACATTTCTGTTCCTCATCCCTGAAAGGAAAAAAAAAAGCGTATATCAATTCCCTTAAACCAAATCCCCCCATGAAAATCCCCCCCTCAAAAACAAAAGCAAGAAGAGAGAATGCATAAAACACAGTCTATGAGTAAATACAGCAGAAAGAAAGCAAACCCCTCCCAACTCTTTTTTTTTTTTTCCTCTCCCCAAAACCCACCCGCAGTGTGTCAGTACATCCATGTCAGTTTCAGTTCAGGCAGGATTTGGCTTTACAGCCGAGGTATGTAGTGTTGCTCTCGCTTTCAGAGAGTCTGATGAGGTATCTTTTATACGTTTCTTTTTTTTCTTTTCTTTCAAACAGTCACGTAGTCTTGTGCATTCTTCACATAATGAATCTTCTTTAAATTAACAGTGATTCCTTGCGGTTTGTCACTTTACTTCCTGAGAGAGACGCCCTCCAGAACAGAGAGGCCAGTGTGAGGTCTAGGAACTAGTTACTGATGAAGACGCCGTCCTGTTTGGAGGGGTGGGGTGAAACGGGACCATGTAGCTGGGTTTAGGAATGCCTCAGTAAGTCTGTGAGTAGAGACATAAGCTCAGGGTCTACTGGGCTTTCACAGCTGCTGCTCCACCCGAACTTTGTGCGTTACAACCGTTAAAGACGGACCTGTAAGGAAGTGAACTAAAAGCGCATCTCAATAGAAACAAATATCCTCAAAAAAATCATTTATTTCAGTATTTCAATTCCAAAAGTTAAACTAACTAATAAGAATGTGAATTGAAAAGGCTTTGGTGATACGATAGATTACAAATCACGATAAAAGTTTAATAGATAGATTAACAAACAGGATAAACTACGATTTTTATCATAGAGCTCTAGATAATTTCGAGGGATCTTGTTGTAATAGGCTCTTAGGTGGCCTATAATTATTTTCACATTTTCAAACCATTTCATTTTAAATCATTAGCAATATCAAAGAAAATATTGTGATATTGGTATTTTCAACCAATGTAAATATTATCCAGGGAAATATTGCGATATTTGACTGAATTTTTTTTTCTCCTTACACTCCTACTAAGAAATATTATGGAAAAAACTGACATATTTCAAGAATTAATTTCAGTTTATTCCTAATGGCTGGGTTGATTTTTAAATATATGGTTTCTAAGATCATTAGACATTTACATAAAACCAATTCAATAATATTTTAGTGTAGAAAAGTTATTTACAGCCATGCTGAGGCCAACACAATCATGGAGTTATTACCACCCTTGATAGGTAAGCCAAAAAAAGTCTTGCCAAAGAAGCCGGCTGTTCAGAATCCAGGCATATTATTGAAAATTCGGGTCTAAGGAACCATAAGGAAAAAAAAGGCCATTTGAAAGTTTGGGGGAAACTGAGAAGAATATAGATTTGGAGTGAGTGCTTTAAGGTCTGCCACACAGATGGATTCAGGACATTACCAACAAGTGCTACCTCTGCTAACAAGCTTACAGAGATGCTGATCTCAAGTTTTATCCAGGCTTTTCTCAGCACCTTTAGTACCAATACTTCCTTTATTGAATGTTTTATCACTTCAGCATCCAAAGTGCCTGTCCTAAACTGCACTGAGGACCTCTCAGACAGCCGTCTGCAACCTGCAGCCCAAGAGACGCAGGAGGCTCACAATCACGGTCAGAAAAATATCAAAACCCGGCTAATAGTTTTGGATATAAAGTAAATAAAAAAACCTTTTCCATCCAATATAACTTCCCAAAAATATCCCTGTCTTATTAATTGATAACCTATTTTTATGAAAGCGTTTTTTTTATTTTTAAACCTTAAGAATAGAAATAAAATTATGTTTCAGACAATTAATTTATCCATAACCATTCTGTCTTTTTTTTTAAAGGTCTTAAATACGTTTTACTTAGCTGGACTGAAGGCAAAAATGCTCTTTGGATTGTAAAGGCTTTGCTCTATGATGACGTCCTTGGATAATAAAAAAAGCTGATCACTAAAATACTAACTAATGCAAAAGGAAATTTAACCACTGAGCACTCCTGCTGTTTAGAAATCAATTTTAATTGGTTTTCTGTAATATTAAATTTTCAGACGAACTGAAATTTTAGTTTCTTCCATTAGTCGTTAGCCATAATAATCAAATGCACAGACATAAATGCTTGAAATATGCAAGTTAAATTAAATAACATAAATGATTTTTAAGGATATTTGAACTGAATGAGATGCTCCTACATAGGTTAATGCTTAAAGGCTTTCTAACGAGAGTGATTGTGAGATGAGGTATTTAATCTGCCGATCCACAGCATCATCAGTCCGAGGCTACAGTGTGTTAGAGAGCAGAATGGCCTGGGTTGGAGGCCTATTGCTGTGAGGTCAAGGCTCTGTAAAATGAGGTTGTTGTGGTGAGAGTTTACCCGACTTCCCCTGATTGCAACACGTTCAAAGAAAATACAAAAATAAAGTTGATTCAGGTTAAATATTCTACAGCTCCTGAGGTAAAGACACCACTGCAGGTTACTTGATTTGAGGTACGTAAAAAGAGAAAAAAACTGAAAACAAAAATCATTCTAAAAAAAAAAAACGACACAAAATCAAAAAAGGACAACAAAATGGCAACGAACAAACAAAATGTCCTAAAAGTAAAACTTTTCAAGTTCAGTTGTGAATACGCCTGTCAGCGGGTTTTGGCTGAGCTGATTGTGTTTAGCATCTACACTAGGATTAAAAAGTGTAGAAATGATGTGTTTATCTATCTGTGTGGTGGATTAAACGCAGAGAATCGTGTGTTTGTGATATTCTGACGCTCTATGCTCATTACTGGACAGCCAAAAGGTTGACAGGGTTGTTGAGGTATTTGTTGTGCAACAGTTTTCTTATTCTTATCGGTTTCTCGTTGAACTATTTATGCTGAGGCCTTGCTGGGGAAAACCGGTCCAGGAAGCGGAAGAAAGCTCGAGTTAGGGGGACCCGCTGGGGGCCAGCTCAGCGGAGCCAGAGCCCTTGGAGGAGCAGGTGGAAGAGGGTGTGGGGCTGAGGGTCTGAGCCTGGGGAGCAGAGAAGCCAAAGCTTGTGCTGGTTCCAGCAGGGGATGACGAGGCAGCGCTAGCAGCGACAACAGTCCCTGGTGCAGCACCGGACTTCTGGGCAAAAAGGGTTCCTGAGAGGAAGCCAGAAATGTCTTAGTTATCTGTTTTTTATGGCTAGCAGGGTAAAAAGTTGATATTTTCTTCATACAAACCTGAATAGATTGTGCCATTAACCTCTACAGATACAGTGATGCTAGCACTGCCATTGGTGGAGATGCTCAGTGACATGTCCTGCTGCTTCTCTTCTAAACACACACAGAAGGGCAGATTATTTTACAAAACATTTCTAGCATTTCATTACCAACATTAGATTAGAAAAGATCAAACCAAACTTTTTTTTTTTTTTTTTTTTGCAGGGTTCACTTAAAATATCCTTCTAAAACAGATCTTTTAGATTGAGTCAAAATAAACCTGATGTCTATTGCTCAGAAGAATTAAATCAGAACGCCTGCCTGTCAGTGAGCCCCAGGGCAGCCGTGGCAAATGTAGTTTGCCACCATCCGTGTGTAAATCAACGGGTGAAAGACTAAATGTAGTGTAAAGCGCTTTGGTCAAGTCCTCTAACTTTAAAAAAAGAGCACTGTATAAGTATAGGCCATTTATGATTTGTGAATACAGTGAACCCTCGCTATAACGCGGTTCACTTTTCATGGTCTCGCTGCTTCACGGATTTGCATCATGCATTGTTAAACTTTATTGTCAAACATAATCGATGGTTGCATGTCGGTTTATAAGGATCTTTTGGCCCAGCAGAAAAAAGAGCGACAACAACTACCGATAACTATGTTCTTCTCTCCAAAAAACACAGCTGCACCGCAGGCTTTAGAAGAAAAAAACGCCACAGAGCAGAGTCAGGACGCAGCGGCTCCGTCAGAACAGCAGTGAAATACTGTACTGTACACGCGAGTCACTATTTGTCCTACTGTACTTTGTATTTTTTTTCATAATCATTTTTCATTTTCTCCCGTTCCAATCCTTCACGGTGGGGCAGCCATGTCACTTTGCGCAAAAAACTAAATGGAAAATTAATTGTCCTACGTCACACTAGCAAATTCTACATGTCATTTGTTTGTAAATTGTCTAAAAATTAGTAGGAATAAGGACTAGATGGACTAGTTGCTGGCGAAAATAGATATTTTTCCAGCAGAAACAGAGATGGACCTAAAATAAAAAAATATGTGGTTTAATTTCTCCAAAAGGAAGAAAATAATTCTTCCATTTGAAGGATTTTTAAGCCATCACCTGAAAATCTTACTTTTCATGCCAAAACGATTTGAGTTGGGCTCCAGTTTAAAACTCCTGAGTGGCTTTTTTTTTACATTTTTAAAATTTTCAATTGGGTCCTCAGAAAGCAAGATCCCAGCCCTATTTATTTTACTACCTAAGAAATAAAATATTTTCACGTACCCCTTGCAATGCACTCGTGGACCAATAGGGGTAAGTGTTAGTCCAGGAGTGCATTCCATGCTTAAAGTTTCCTTCAACAATATTTAAAGTCAGCATTTATATCATGTAATATATGTGTTTGAACTGTTCCTTATCAACCTTGGAAACGCTGACCTCTGGTGGCGATGGTGGGGGCTCCCAAGCGCAGGTTCATGGGCATTTGGGAAGCCATAGCCAACAAGTTATGTTGGAAAGCCTGCTGCATGAGACGCTGCTGCTCCTCTGCCAGGCGGGCCATCTTTCTCTCTGGCCCCTCTCCCCCTCCGCTGGTCTCCAGCTTTTCTCTGAGCTGCTCCAGTGTGGCGGCTCTGGCCAAACCGGCCACCTGCTGCTGACCCAGAGACAGCGCCATGGGGGGTCTCCCTGCCATCATTGCAGGAGTCAGGTCTTCTAAAGAAAAAAGAAGCGGAGATAAAAATGACTAAAACTTAACTGCTGATAATAATTCAGTTTGTGAAGCTGAAATCCAAAGTAAATGCAGGAGGTTTTTGTTCTGCAAATCGACAAACGTCACAAAATATCCTGAATAAAATCAGACTTTACTCACTTTGCTTTAAAATAATTTCAATTAATAATAAACTGATCGAATCCTTCTTTTAGATCAGCTGCTACTTTATCCTAACTATAAGACACTGAAGTACCGTTTTCAAACCAGTACTTAAGTCAAACCACAGACACTGTTAAAGGTCAACAACAGACTCACATTCCCACCAAGGCCAAGCGGCATCAGATAAAACAACAGCATAATGACAGTTATCAACAGGAGTCCTCTTAATGTGGAACACAAGCTTCAAAGTTCATAAAGTGGCCTCCCCTGTGTGGGAACCAGCTTATTTATCATTAAATAGGAGGGGGCTCCTGTAGCCTCGGGCAGAAATGTTAAGAGTCTTAAACACCTGGATAGACCACACAAACATGTCCTGACAAAATCACATGCACGTGTACAGGGTGATACACGATACGGAGACACTTAAATATGACAACAATATATTCTGTTTTTCTTGTTTATGCTCCTCTAGGCCTCTGAGAAGCATTTATTGATGCCCGATAATTTGAACGGTTATTAAGTCATTTATAATCAATGGGAATTTTTAGCTGCTAATTTCGTGGGGTAGAGATATCCAAACAAAATTGCACCAAATTCAGACTTTCGAATGCTCAGCGAGATGATAAAATTGAAAAAAACATAAAGAACATGAGGGTATTTAACGTCTGTTTTTCTCAGTAGGAGTTGAAAGATTGGAAAGCAACACGATGGAAAAATTAAACAAGGAGAAAATTAGGACAACTACCGTATACTGCTTTTTAGACATGATGGTTGATTTAAATTGCTCTTAATTTGGTCGGGTAAGTGTGTGCCTGTTCAATGAACATGTTGGCCCTTCAAATAAAATGATTTGATGTTAAACACTTGAAATAAGACGGTGGAGTTTCTTTTTTATTATTTTGAATGTAAATCATTTTATTCCACTGGCAAAAAGTCGTCCCTGCTCAAGTCAAGGAAAAATGAAAATACTTCAAGAAGAACTAAATTTCTTATACATTTTTTTAGTGCAGACTCTATAAGCTGCAGTAAGAATAACTCAACTAAAGTGTATTACAGGAATGATTAAAAATACCAGAATAATTGCATCTTGTTTGGAAGGTTTGCAGCACTGGGTTCTGAACAGAAGGTTCTTCTCGGCTTCACTGCAAAGCCTCATGCTTGCCAAAACCTCAACAGCACATCAACACCTCGTTACACCTGTCCATTATGGTGGCTGTCAGGCTTGGATGTGCTTTAGTGTTAGAGCTGCTGTTCCTGTAGTAAGCAAGCTCTTTTTACTACCTAAGCATTCTCTGTTAGAAGGTCAAAGCTTTGCAAAAACCTGAAACCTAACAGTACAACCTAAAATGTAGAAATTCCACCAACTTTTATCGGCCAAGAAGAAGCAAGACCTTAGAATGGTTCAGGGTAAATTTGAACAGTTTTAAGGGAATGTCCTTACGGACATCTTCTATTCAGCTTCGTCTTAGATGCAGTTGTTGAATACAGCGACAGGGGGCAGTATTTCTCTATCACTAGGCAACATCTAGGCATTAGACATCTAGAGCAACAGCCCCTTATGTCCACATCAAAGCAGCTAGACTCTCCCAAGTAGTAATTTACCCAACCTATAAAGTCCTAATTGATGTTAGGTGTATTTTTCCCTTCCAGCAGTTACTTGCATGTAAAAACTGCCCATTTGCTTTGAGGTAAGCCGAGAAAGGAAGCTTCTAATCCAAAAACTTTTATTTTTATACCCTTTCCTTTAGTTCTCCAACATGCAGTTTTTACATGTATGCATTTAAACTAACATTATTACACTTCTGAATACAAAAAGGCATGAATTGCTATTCAGTGTAGGGTGAAAATGCCAACCTTTCTTCAAAGAGGTTCCTGGAGAAGCCTGAAGGCCGTTGATGGCCACAGAGGTCCCAGCACCAAGGCCTGCCAGATGCATCTTGGGCGGAGAGAGGATGTGGGGAGCCGTGCTTGGAGAAGGTGAGAAGCGGAAGAGGCTGCTGCTGTAGCTAGGACGACGGCCCTCGCGTCGGTTACTGTCGATGGCTGCTTGCAGCTCACCCGGGGAGCTGAGACCTTTCCTCTCGCACTCGTACGGGTACAGGTATTTCATGTACCTTAAAATAAAAACGTAAAAACAATGTTAGGCTGAGTAAAAAATGAATCAAAGTATGTAAAAAATGCACTCGTGTATGAAAGGTGTTCAGAAAGCAAGGATAGTTTTCAAGAATGTCTGACAAGACTAAGGAACTTAAGAATAATACATTTTTCCTTGAATAGATTTTTTTCAAATGTTCCTTTAGAGGAGAAAAAAATCAAACAGTTCATAAAACCATTTTTAGCTAAAAATATTTGTATCTCTTGAACCATTTTCCTCAGTTTGTCACATTTCAACCGCAAACCTCTAAAATGACACTAGAATCTGTGATTCCAATGAACAACATAACCTAATAAAGACTCCTCCTGCTATGTCAGCTGTGCATCTTTAGGAGAATGTCTCCACCAGCTTTACAATGTAGATCAAGCTCTATCAGACTGAAGGACTGTGACTTAGAGTGACATAAGTTGTCCTGAGCCCTGTCTCTAGTCATGCTGCTATAGGCTTAGGCTGCTGGAGGACATGCTTACCATTTTTCTCACTCTGCTCTATTCTCCTACTGCTCTTCCATTTAGCATTATTTGATAATATATAAACTTTTAAATAAATGTTTGTTTTCTGTTTTTCCTCTTCATAAAAGCCATTTATGGTTTAGCAACTGGCACCATTCCAATATAACCTCTGGCTAACATACTGCCGGAAGCAACTTAATTTTCTTGTTTAAGAGATGATGCACCTAATGATGCAAATTCAATGCTTAACTCTTCTTCTCTCTAAGTTGTAGCCAATGGCTGAGCTTTTAACAGTTAACTCGCTAACTAACTGGACTTTAAAGCTGTGTTTTTAAAAAAAAAGAGATAATCCTGCCATTAAGATTTTATTTTAGCAAGGAAAGTATGTCCTGGATCAGTATGGCTGTGTGCTTTTTGTCTTCAAAACCCATAGTCAGCTGTAGCAGAATGCTGTTATCACTGGAAACTGGAGGTTTCTTCCTGTTAAAAGAGAGATTTCCTTTTTACTGTTGCTACATGCATTGTTGAATGAAGGATTGTGGCCAAATTAAACTATACAACCACATATCGACTGTTGCTACATGCTCATCCCGGAGGAGTGAAAGCTGCAAGGCAATGACTCGATGCAATCTCTGATGGAAAACAATTAAAATAATTTGAATAATAACTTGTTTTTGACTAAACTGTTTATTAACTGGATTAAATGTAATGCACAAGCTCGATTTGGAAACTGATTTAGATGAGTTGGTTTGGGTTTTCTGTATTGTTCAGCCTTGAGATTGTTGTTGTATAAACAGACTGAATTAAATGTAATCAGAAAGGGTTTAAAGATACATCTTAAAGACTTGCTTTAGATGAAGAACTTCACCCCAGTCTTAAGAATCTTCCTGTCCAGCATTGTATTTAGATTCTGATCCAGCTTCTTTATCCTGGAGTAAAAACCTCCACATGTGCATCAACTGTGTTTTTCTAACCCCCCATTAGATAATCTAAATCAAAGAAGGGATTTAAAAAGACATATTAAAAGGAAAATCACCTGCTATCAATCTTTAAAAAGTTCCCACATTGGCACTTTTCTTTCCTAATTTCTTCACCATCTGCTCCCTACTCTGTTTCTGATGAAGTGTGATTTTATTTCCCAGAACAACTGAATTTATTGCAACATCTGGTACAATAATGTTGTTTGAAGGGGAAACCAGTTGGATCACACCCCAACAGCTCTAGATGTATGCTTGGTATGTTTCCATCCGTAAAAGGAACCCCTGGAAAATGCCCACTCACTCCGTATTGGTGGAATATCTGCACTAATGGATAGATAAAAAGCAAAAGCAGCTGCATCTACGTGGTAGAGCAGGGGGGCAATGCAGAATAACAACCTGACAACATAAAAAATACATGAGGGGTCTCAGAGAATATCTACTGTTGGAGAGGATAAAGAGGTTCTGCTTGAACTGACGAGTTTCCACAAAGAAAAGAATCAAAAATAAATGAGGTTTAGTCCAACCTCAACTTAGTGACCGACTCAAATGACATCAATTGATCACAAGGATCAATGAGCTCTAGGTGTGATGGAATGTGATGAAGATGCAAATAAACACTAAGACTGGAGTTCATTTTCCCATTTGTACTCATATAAACACACAAACATGCATATACTCAAGCAGGGTTTATACAGAGCCGTTTGCTGGGTTTGAACAGGACCTTTAATTAACCTCTTCTGGACAGAAGAAGCTAATTGGTTTCATACCAGTTCCAGTCTAAATACAGCCAGCGTGGTTTATGTATAACATAAATGTTGGTTTATACATCTGCCTCTGTTACTAAGGTTACCATAAAATGTGCTTTTATACCATTTATATGTTGGAAGTGGGAACTAAACGTGATCCATTTGAGAGTAAGGATGCACAGTGAGACCGTGCTGAATTTAGCTGATAAACTCAGTAAAGTGTCTATATCAGAGATAGATTGTACAATAAATAACAACACAAATAAAAGCTCCAAGGACTACACGGTAGAGATATTCTTTAATATCTAGCTGAATTTGAAACACTAGCTCACGAAAAAACTGTTGTCAAAAAGCAAATATTTTGGTTACACTGATTTGTTAGACCAAAAAAAAAGGCATAGCAGCCAGAAGTCGGTAGTAACTAGTTACATTTACTTAATTATATTTACTTGAGTAACTTTTTTGGAAGAAAAAAAAATGTACTTTTCGGAGTAGCTTTACACCATAGTACTTTTTTACTTTTACTTAAGTAAAAATATGATAAAGTATTATTACTTTCATTTTCATTTTTCATTTATTGTTTATTTGAAAGGGGACAGTGTACATTAATAAACAATTACTCTTACTTGAGTAAACTTGTGGATACTCTATCTATTATCAGTAACTTCACCTGATGAAAACAAGCCTGTTTTAACAGATATGCACCATTGAGAGACAGAATTTATATATTTTGTATTCAAGGTTGATCAGTTAAATGTAACTTTCCATCCGCTGAGTCTGCCGTGTCATTTGGACGTTGAGTGAAAATACAGTAAACAGTATACTGTAATTGAATCTATTATTACATACTGTACATATTGGTTAAGGAAGTTTTTTAACTACAGAAATATTGATCTGTTGTCATGATCAGTGGTAGTAGGTATATGTTACTCATTACTTGAGCAGCATTTTTAGAAGCAGTTTTTTCAAAGGCTACTTTTTACTTTTACTTGAGTAAAAATATCAAGAAGTTGTGCTACTTTTGCTTAAGTACACCCACCTCTGATAGTAGCTCAACCAAAAGTGCAGCAAAGTATTTTTACTGTATTTAATGAAGTCCAAATTCTGCCAAAAATGCACAAGTAATGAAAAATGATACAAGCTATTTTTTTTTATAAACTATTCGTGCATATTTAATACAATGAGGCCCCCAATATATCCCAATCATAACTTCCTCTTCTAAACTGGTGTTTACTGGTTAACTGGTTTTTATGCTCCTTTAGATTCTCTCCTACTGTGGTTTGGATCTGGAACTAACCTGAGAAACTAAACTGCCTGTGATTGAAAACTTTTCAGGAAATCCCACTTCTGTTTTCTTCATAGCTTTGACTAGTAGTTTTAGCAAAGCATCTTCAGGCTAACCGCTGTTCTCTTCAAGAGTAGAATTCTGACTTGGAATGCAGCATCCCTCTCTGTTATCAAATGAAAATGTTGTAAACAACAAAGCTGGACAAAAAAGAAAAAGATGTTTAACAGTGGCTGAAAACTGATTAGAAATGTAAATGTCTGAGCCTCAGTTTCTCAATATTAACAGAATAGAACAAAAAACCCTTTATTTTCCCACAATGGGGGAATTCTGGTGTTTACAGCAGCAAGAAGATTATAGAAACAATTAGTCACACAAATGTGGACCTTAGAAAAATCTATAAGAATAACATAATAGTGAAGAGTTAAATGATAAATAAAATACTGTACTGTAAAGTGTTTTAACAGTATAAAAACTGTTCACCTGGGGATTAAATAACCAATATACAGCTATGGACATTTTTGCAGTAATTGATATTTGATAATAGAAGCAACATCAGAGATGTGCAGAATGACAGCAGCAGGTTATTTATATGAATAAGATAGAAACTGTGCAAAATCAACATGAATGTAACAACTTACTGAGGTTGTTGGGAACAGTGAAGCTAACATTAGCCTAGCTCATATCAAGTTCAAAATTCACCATTTATCATTTAAAGCATATTGCTACTGGCGTCAGAACACATTTGCGACTGCAAGAAATTATGACTTCACTTAGCAAGTTTTTAACTCTTTAAGAGAACTCTTTATGAATGCGTTGCTACATTAATAGGTGTCACTACCCGATCTGTACCGGAACGGAAGCACGATCCGTACCATCAGCTCATTTCCACATGTACAACCTGACATTCAATGAAGTCACTATTAATTCAATTATAATTAAAAAACACATTATTAATCCCAGAGGGAAATTAAATAAATAATACAATTACTGGGCAATTACTCTTACAACATTTAAACAAGATTTAGATCCGTTTTATATTCTCCCTGTTAAACTGCTTGTCTATCATCATCATCGGACATAATCAGAACAGGCTGGCAAAGTATCATTATACCATAATTATCTATATTTTAGTTGCGTCTTTCGTTTAATAATGCTCTATATACCATAAAAGTAAAACATTAATTAAACCCTAGTACATTTATGTAAAAATCCAAACCCGATTAGCTGCCGGAAGTACGGTAGGATCCCATTTCTGGACAGATCGGGAACAGATTAGTGATAAAACAGAAAGGATGTAAACACTTTTATTCTCTCAGAAAATAAATTATCAAATTTTTATGCTTTCTAATTTAGCACGCTTATTTTAATTAATGAGGGAAAAAAACACAACTTAATTTCAGTCTTTAATGAGCTTGTGGTACAGTTCGTGCTACTAGTGCGGATCAGGTAGCAATGGCTACAACTAGAAGGAAAACAACGTCTCAAAGGGCAGGATTTCCTTAGGAGTAGCCAATCACAGGCAGTTTACTTCCTCGCAATGTCTCCATCAGCAAAGAGATAAAAGCTTCCAATCTGCATAGTTTACGTACGACTGTTTTAGTTGAAACTGCTTGTATGAGTGTTTCTTTACACATGTACCCATTTTACAAAATTCTGACTTTATAGTATTTTGCTAAACTTCAATTAAGAATATTCAATGGTGGTTTAAAAAAACATGTAGCTTAAATTCTCATGTTATTAATTCTAACAATGTTAATTTCTTAAAGTTTTTTGTTATTGCAGAGAAAGTCCAAGCAGCTCCTAGGACTAAGCAGCAAGTTGAATTTGCACAAATTAGGTCACCTTTAATGCTAAGATGATAAAAAAAAAGTTATGCTTGTTCAAATACATGCTTTGATTTAATTCATATGTTTTATCTGAGCAAGCAGAATTACGTGTTATTCCCTGGATGCCTAGTGTCGCTAATACGCGTATCACAATTGTTTGTAGCTCAAGGCCAAGTACGGCTCCTTCTGTTTTCTGCATGGACAGTTGCATGTGCAACAAATGTGAGCGCAACTTAATACCGCAAGCATACATGAGAAAGGCGTTGCTTCCAGTTTGAAGGTTACTGGCTTGACATTCTTAACCTGGTTTCAGCAGATTAATATAATTTGTTTCCTTTCCAAACAGACAAAGACTCACTGTGTGCGCAGAGTGAAAGCAGCACTGGTGATGGATGTGGGCAGGTTGAGTCCCTTGGTGATTTCTCTCCAGATCTTCTTGTTGATAACTTCCACAAGGCCTCCCTTCTCTGTTACCAGCTTGTAGAGCATATACAGATCCAGGACCTGTTTCGCCATGATGGGAATACGATTGACTGGGGTTCCTACAGAAAACATAATAAACAGATTATATCAGTAAAGCAACAAATATTAACGTGCTCTTCAGTATCTTGAGGGACAGTAAACGGTTTAGAAAAAATTTAGGATTATTCCAAAGACAGAAAAATTTGAAACAATCGACATTAATTCATCAAACAATGAATGCTAAAACATTGATTATAGTTAACCTCTAAACTCTGATCTGATGGATGGTGAGCAAGCTGCCCACACGTCCATAAAAATTGGGTTGAAAACAAATTAGCCCCGTTACGGCAATCTGGCTTGACCTGGAAAAGGGGATTCACAAACACAAAGCAAAGCTGCTCGAGACTTTTGATATAGATGCATTAATCTTGTCAACAGCTTATCTGCAGCGAAGCTCTCGGGAAACGTGTGCAGTGGGAAAACGAGGAGGAGAAGGAGCACCTGCTGCTTCCCATATGTGACGGAATCAAATCAAAGTGCAATGTGCAATAGTCTAAGCATTAAATGGGAGGAGGGGAGTTGGGATTGTGACAACCTGCTTATCCTTAAGAAGCAGAGGATAGGGGGGAGCTAGCTTCATGATAGGCTGGTATAATGAAGCTTATTTAGAGGATTGTGCCGAGTAAATCCACACCACTCTGAGTAAGAGCAAGACCCAATGCATGGGAGATGTACAGATCTGCCATCATAGGTAATTCCTGCCAATCCTCCCCCCCCCCGGGCTGCCTTTAACCTGGAGTCATTAATGACTTTATAAAATAGAAGCATGATCAGGCCAGAGAGATTAGCCCTGATTCATTCTCTTAAATTAGTGCCTTTAAGCCATGTGAAGAGGCCAAGGTCAGCACATAGTCCTGTGGATTGGAGATCATGAAAGTGACGCTGACGCTCTGAACAAGTTTCAGTCCGTGTTTGGGAAACAAACTAACATCCAATAAGGAGCTGCATTAGACTCCTTTGGAAATAGTTGATGGAGTTTATTTTTTCAAACGAACAAGAGAGTAAAGGTGCAAAAAAATTAAGAAAAAGCATTGGCAAGAAAATGCCTTGCAGAAGTTATGAGACGTTTTTAGACATACCGTTGTGGCAAAACCCCAATGTTGTGTGTATTCGAAGTAGGGATGGAACGGTTTATGAAAACCGTCCGAACCGTTCGGTTCGACTGTCTCGGTTCGATTCGCGTGTGTTGCTTTTAGTTCATGCGCGGCTCCTTTTTCTCATAGGCGAAGCGTTTACACTCCAGAGCAGAAGGTGGCGGTACTGCGACCAAAGCCAACCACCAGTAGTAAACAAGAAGAAGAAGAAGCGAAGCAGCGTAGCCGGGTGTAGCAGAAAAAAATCAGTTGTTGTGGAGAATTGTGTGGGTATGGCGAGTGGGAAAGAACAGGAGTTGGAAGACGCGCCAGCAGCACTTTATAGGTCTGCTGTATGGGACCACTTTGCATTTAGAGTGACCTACGATGACGGCAGGAAGAAAGCTGTGGATAAAAGTGCAACAGTGTGCAAGCATTGTGCAACACGTTTTGTTTATGCTAACAGCAACATGACCAACATGTCAGGCTAACAATCAACATATACTGAACTGAACCGAAAACCGTGACCACGAAACCGTGAACCGAACCGTGGATTTTGTGAACCGTTCCACCCCTAATTCTAAGTAAACCATCAAACTCACAGATCTGGGTTCCAGAAGTTCACATCTACGACTGGTTTCTCATAAATTGTACTGTGTTTGATTGGGCCATGGCTGACCAAGTCCAGTTCTCATGAGCTGCATCTTAAGCCAATGTAAACTGAATGAGCTCATTAACACTGCCATGTACAGCTGAATGACCAGCTGATGAAGGAATTTACACATTTGATCTAGATGTGTAGAGAGGGGGTACATCTAAAACGTGCCCGATAGTAGCTCTCAAGAACAGAGCTTGGACATCCCTTGGTTAGACCATTATTGTTCCTGCTGGTGTACCTCTGCTTAATTTTCACTCGCATCTAGTTCAACATCAAAAGCAATGATTGGCCTCATCTAGGAAATTGATGACTCGGCCACAGCAACATTAGTTTGTCCAACTTCAAACATCTTGGGGTCACCATCTTACATGAGACATCTCACTGCTTCAAATTGGTCAAAAGGGCTTTTTCCAGACGACTGAGGACAAAAAAATTGACTCCCTTCAGGAATACTGGTTAACTTCTGCCACTGCAAAATTGAGAGCATTCGAATCCTCTTTACTACAGCGTTTTATGCAGAGTTGGTCTGTTGCAGTTTGGAAGCTGGAAGTTGGTGAAAACTCTCAGAACATCACTGAGGCCAAACTTCCAGGAATTGAGGACATTTACAGGAAGCACCACAAAGTCAACATCGGCAAAGACCCCTGCAGTAATTACTTGCACTGAAATTTATTAAGGGTTATCAGAGTAAATGAGGTCAATTTAAGTGGAAACCAGAATTTATTTATTTTTTAATTATTATTATTTTAATGTTTTTTTACATTTTTAATTTGGAACAAACAAAAAAAAATAACTCAGATTTCCATGTATGGGTTGTTCTTTGGATTTACTCTTTCAAAATAAAGCAAAAAGAGATAAATAATTAAATTAGTGGTTATTTTTTGTGTGTATTTTTTGTTTTAAATTGAATTAAAATAAAAGAAATATGAAAGAGGTGCGTAATATTTTGTTAGTGGACCATTTTGGATCCTCTGTCAGAGCATTCTAAACCTCCACCACAATACATTTTTTTTAAATGGCACTACAATGGTGAACGTCTCACAGTGGACGTTTGTCTTACCAGATCCTGATGAATGTTTACAGTATATATTTAGTCTATCACTATTTACTGGAGAAATTTAAGTCAACTAAAATAGCACCCTCTCTGATTCTCAGCTGCTGTTAGGCCTACACTGGCGACCGCTTAGCAGTTCCTGTCTTCACCTTGACTTCAAAGTAAAATCATATGTTAAAACTCGTAAACATTGCAGCAGGTTGCTTCTTTACATGTTGTACTTAATGCAAAATCCTGAGAGAGTTAATAGCAGAGATGCGTGGAACGCCACAATGACACAAAGCACCGTTGATTCAAGAATGGGTTTTCCCACTTTTAAAAATGGCGTATGACGGCAGCTATTACCAGTGTCTGATGGAACCTCTGCAGATTTCCAGCTGAAGTGACTTCCAAATAGTGACAGCTTACCAAAAAAACTCATCAGATCAGTGACAACTGTAGGAGCTGAAATGTTTCCTAAGGACAATTTCTTTACCCATCGGGTACGCTATAATTATTAACTCCCAACCCGTTCAGTTAACATAACTCTAAAGGATAGTTTTACGTTTCCTTTTTCCCCAATATTTCCTTACTACATGTCTGCATTTTCTCCTTTTGTTCTCATCTGATTGGTTAGATTTTAATCTGAGACTGTTCTGCTAATCAGTTTCTGGAGTAAAGCAGCTCATCACTGATTATTAAAACCCCAACAGTATATATTACGGATTTAAATAACGAAAACAAAAAAGAGAGGATCCTTTAATTATTTCAATATTACATTTTTGCATTTAGCTTTTAAAATGGGAAAGAAAAAAAATGATGCGTATTTTCTTTTTGCGAACATGTTTTGAAACAAAAAAAACCAAGGAATGAACCAATAAACATATTTTGGGAATATGTAAAACATTAATCATTCAAATAAATCTTTTACTCTGGTAATGCCTTCCGATTTTGTTTGCTGCATAATGTGCTTCATCAGTGACCAAGAAAGCTAAAACAATTAACAGAAAAGACTACCTCTTTTTGGATCTGGGTTTATGTAAAATTTCCAGAACAAATCCAGCGTTAAGGTGCAAGTGCTTTGTCAGTTATCTAATGCAGCGTTGGACATCAATCCTGCAATAAACAATTAGTACAACTAGAGGGGTCAGAGATCAGCCAGGGGTTATTGATGTGTGAATTAAACTGCAGGTCAGCAGGAAGCCATGTTTTCATACTGGCCTGCTCGTGAACAATGAGAGAACAACAAATGTGACACAGGAGCGCTGGCCCCAGAGTGACAGGCCAGCAGTTAGTTAGCTTTTAATTCACGCCTTTTGCCTTTGTCATCATCTGCTGTCAAATCAAAATGCAATTCTGTGTATTTATGTGGAGCTCATGGAAGAGGCCGCTACAGTGCAGAGAAACACAAAGGGTTTCCTTTTTAAAATTAGAAAGAAAGATTGCAAGTTGCCTGAGAAAAACAGGTGATCTGAACCCTTCGAATTCTGATATGAACTCAAGCGAAAGCCCAGAGGAAAGCTGGTATTGACACAACTTCTTATTTACAACACTCTCAGTTAGAGAGAGACTTCCTGTGCACAGCCAAGCTTTAGTGTCCAACATCTGTTGCCCCTAACCCTGGAGACATCCAGCTCTAATTAGACCAGCCCAAAACATGTCTTTTGATCACTAAAACCTGCTACCTCTGCCCCGTATATAATCACAATTACCATTTTTATTCCCACATTAAACCCAGCGCTAAATGCTGTCAGGAGATAGAATGTTATCAGGGAGGCCTCCGGAAGGCGAACTACTGAATACTTCATCTCTCTGTGAAGCACTGATTTGTCCAGCCGCTTGCTCTGAGCCAACCTGTAATTGGCTGCAGGCCTCACCTCCCATCATCCTTTGCCCCGAACTGATTTCCCCCCAGGGACAGGACCATCAGGAGCCAAGTGATTAATGGCACCAGGGGTTAAAGGTCGCTCTGGTGGGAAGTGCCGAGGCTGAGGGCGCCTGAACCACTCCCAGAGTCCTTCCTCAAACGTCCAGAGTGAGCACCAGAGCCACGCGGCTGCTCTTCAAAGGGGGAAGGACTCGTATTTGAAATCGTGTGTATGTGTGAGAAATATCCACACCCTTACCTTAAACTGCATTAGATAATGTTTTGATAACTTTGGGAAAAAAAAAAAAAACATAAAAGGTATGAAACCAGGTAACAGCTTTACTGTCTGCAACAAATGTGTTGCAGTTTTGTCTAAATCAAATGTTAGG